TAAATAATTGTAATAGATTTTTGAGGTATGATTTCCTTTTACAAAAGCTCTATTGACACTTTCCTGACACATTGTGCTCATCTATGTGTCTTTACTATAGTTTCAACCAATTTGCTTAGTACTTGAAATTTGGCATGGCAGTGTACAATTGCCAGGATTGCCTTTTGGGTTTTTTTTTTTTTAAATTGGCATCACATTGGCTAATCTATCGGTCATCTGGTACAGAGTCTGATTTAAGTGATAGGTTATATACCACACTTAGTAGTTCTGCAATTTCATATTTGAGTTCCTTCAGAACTTGGGTGAATACCATCTAGTCCTGGTGACATATTACTGTTTAATTTACCAATTTGTTCCAAAACTTCCTCTACTGACACCTCAAACTGGGACAATTCCTCAAATTTGTCACCTAAAAAGAATGTCTCAGGTGTGGGGAATCTCCCTCACATCCTCTGCAATGAAGATTTATACAAAGATTTCATTTAGCTTTTCTGGAATGACCTTATCTTCCTTGTGGCACCTTAGAGACTAACCAATTTATCTGAGCATAAGCTTTCGTGAGCTACAGCTCACTTCATCAGATGCATACTTTGGAAACATTTGCACAGTATGCATCCGATGAAGTGAGCTGTAGCTCACGAAAGCTTATGGTCAAATAAATTGGTTAGTCTCTAAGGTGCCACAAGTACTCCTTTTCTTTTTGCGAATACAGACTAACACCGCTGTTACTCTGAAACTTATCTTCCTTGAGTGCTCCTTTAGCACCTTGATTGTCCAGTGGCCACACTCACTGTTTGGCAGGCTTCCTGCTTCTGATTTATTTATTTATTTTTGCTGTTTAGTTGTGTCTTCTGCTAGTTGCTCTTCAAATTCTTTTTTAGCCTGCCTAATTATACTTTTACACTTACCTTGCCAGAGTTTATTCTCCTTTCTGTTTTCTCAGTAAGATTTGACTTCCAGTTTTAAAAGGATGCCTTTTTGCTGCCAACCACCTCTTTTACACTATTGTTAAGCCATGGTGGCTTTTAAAAAACCATAAGAGGTTCAAACTAAATGTATACCCCAAATAAATAATTTTTTTTTAAATAGTTTCCAAGCAACTTAAAGGCACTTCCCCTTTGTGCTGTTCTTTTTAATTTCTGTTTAACTAGCTTCCTCGTTTTTGTGTAGTTCCCCTTTTGGAAGTTAAATTCTACTGTGGTGGGTTTCTTTGGTATTTTCCCCCCTAGAAGAATGTTAAATTTAGTTTCTTTATGGTCACTAGTATCAAGCAGGTCAGCTATATTTACTTCTTGGGCCAGGTCCTGTGTTCCACTTAAGGCTAAATCAGGAATTGCCTCTCCCCTTGTGGGTTGCAGGACAAACTGCTCCAAGCAGTCGTTAATGGTGTCTAGAAATTTTCTCTGCATCCCATTCTGAGGTGACGTGAACCCAATCAATATGGAGATCAACTTTCTGTTTTTGTAGCCTCTCCAATCTCCCTGAGCATTTCACAGTCACCATCACCATCCTGAGCAGGTGGTCAGTAGTATATTCCTACTGCTATATTTTTATTGTTCAAGCATGGAATTTCTATACAGAGATTCCACGTACTTTTTGATTCATTTCAGATTTTTACTATATTTGATTCTGTGCTTTCTGTCACTCCTGCACCAGCACAACCTACTTTGTCATTCCTATATATTTTATACTCTAATATTACTGTGTCCCATTGATTATCATAATTCCACCAAGTTTCTGTGATGCCTATTATGTCAATATCCTCATTTAATACCAGGCATTCAAGTTCATAAATCTTAGGATTTAGACTTCTATTATTTGTATATACGCACTTACAAAATTTGTCAACATTTAGTTGTCTGCTTTCATGAAATATAATTGAATGGGACTCTTTTTATTTGTTTCCTTCCAGTTCCTATCTGAATGTATCCACTCCTATCTTCTCCTTTTTTACTAGGATAGAGTATCCCTTTTAATAAATCCTCACCTAAAGCAGTGGTCTCCAAAGCGGGGTGCGCCAGATGACCGATTGGGGGGCACAGCAGGAGGATCGCCGCCAGAGGCGGTGGGGGCGGCCCTGAGTCCTCCGGCCCGTGGAGGAGCAGGGGCAGCCGCGGAGCCAGCTGCCGGAAAGAAGCGGCACTTTCCCCTTCAAAGCCGGCCGCTTCTCTCCAGCCGCTGGCTGCCCCTGCTCCTCCTGAGTCCCCCGGCCCGTGCTCGCTGGGCCGCGTGCCGAGCGGGGCTTTAGAGCTGCAGGCCGGGCCCCCTTAGCCCAGGGCCCTAAAGGCCCTGCGTTCCGGGTGCCCTGCCTGCCGGGGGGGCAGCTCCCAGAATCGTGGCCATGGGGGTGGGGCTGCGCTATGCAGAGCCACCCGCAAACCCCTGCAGCAAACAGGAGCTGCCCCAGGTAAGTGCTCTGCACCTCCTGCCTCCCCCAGCCCTGAGCGCCCTCCCAGACCCCGCACCCCACCCTGAGCGCCCTCCCAGACCCCACACCCCACCCTGAGCACCCGCTGCATCGCAAAGTGTTAAACCCAGATTTGCAAAAATAATAAAGCCTATTCAATCGCATTGCTCTCACTAAAATGATTGGTTTCAGAGTAGTGGCCATGTTAGTCTGTATTTGCAAAAAGAAAAGGAGTACTTGTGGCACCTTAGAGAATAACAAATTTATTTGAGCATAAGCTTTCGTGAGCTCACTAAGGTGCCACAAGTACTCCTTTTCTTTTTACTAAAATTATTTTTTTTAAGTGAGAGCAAAAGTTTTTTGTACCATTAATAAATAAAATTATTTTAAAAATATTCATCTTTAGCTCATCGTTTTTTCTATTTTTGTGTATGTTTTATAATTTACATAATAGTACATGTATATAATTTATACATATATTGGGGGTGCGTGCTCAAATTTTTTACTGATGGGGTACACGATCAAAAATTTGGAGACCACTGACCTAAAGGATGTGTGTGTCTGAACTGTGTGCTCCTCTGCACCTGTCAGCTTTCCCCAGCCACTAGTTTAAGCACTCCTCTACAACCTTTTTAATTTTACATGCCAGCAATCTGGTTCCATTTTGGTTTAGGTGGAGCCCATCTCTTCTACATAGGCTCCTTCTTTCCCAAAAGGTCCCCTAGTTCCTAGTAAGCCTTAATCTCTCCTTCTAACATCATTATCTCATCCAGTGAGACCCTGCAGAGCCAGTTAGACAGGCAGAACCGCATATGGAATTGAAAGCATTTGAGAATGCTATCATGGAGGTCCTGGACTTTAATCTCTTACCTAGTAACCTACATTTGACCTCCAGGACCTCTCTTCTACCTTTCCCTATGTCACTGGTACCTACATGAACTATAACCACCACTCTTCTGTGGCTCAGCCCTCCGGCCTAGTCACGTAATAATTCACTCTCCTTCTAGGGTAACTAAAGGTCCAATTTAAGTTCAAAATGTCCAAACTTCTGCTAATCTCAAACTCTCATGAAATCTTTTGCTTCTTGGCCCCTCTAGAGACACTCTTGAACAGGGTTACCCCCGTTTCCCTTTGCTAGGGACTCTTAGCAGTTTACCTCTGAGGAGCTTCCTGGTACTTTTAGGCCCTAGCTCATTGTTCTTCCCCCTCTTCCCTGAGCCAAGCCTATCCTATCCCCTATGGGTGATTCAGCTTGACTGCCTCAGACTCTTCCTGGAGGTGAACTCCCCTTGTTTCTCTCTCTAGGGTCCTCCTTTCTTCTGAGTTCCCAGCTCTATTTGAGTAGTACTCACCCTGCTTCACCATCACTGCTGGGGTCAGGCTTTCTAATTAAGCCCCATTATACCCAGTGGGGTCACTAATGAACTAATGCCAGCTCATTGGTAAAGCTAGGGATAGCTGCTAAACGATGGGCAGAGCTTGCCTCAACGGGCTAGCTAGTCCATCACACGTGTCTTCTTGGCCTCTATATGGTCTGGTTGCATGTTCCAGTGAAGTTTTTGGTAACCCTGATGCCACAAAATGATACATTTCTGGATGTCACACCAGCCACAGCTGCTTAAACTAAAATTTGTCCTACCACCCATTGTTTATATGTTGCCTCTTTCATTTGCTGTTTGTGGCATGCAGCATCTCATCTTGCAATTTTCATTTTATTCAGAGATTTGAAGTTTCCTTACAGCAGCCTTTCTTAAGTGTTCTGAAGGAGAGTGACAGCAGCCTCCCTGCTAGGCAATGAAGTTAATGCTGGAAGATCACAGGGCACTCTGAGGTACTTCTGTGAAACAAGTCCATGGGAGAACTCTGGGGGTGTATTTTTGTTTTGGCAGCAGGGGCGGCATCTGTCTGCTCCAAACACAACTGAAGGTTTGGGAAGGGCCCAACTCTAGAATCCATCAAGTTCCAAAGCGAGGCTCAGGGCGGCAAAGGAGACGCACAAAACTATTAGAAGCATTTGTTTTGCAGTGCAGTTGTAGGTAGGCGCCCCAGTCATGGGCTGAGCCCTGAACAAGCACAACAAAAAGATCGTTATAGGTTCTTACGGTGTCCCTGAACCTCTGACTGCCTGATGCTGGGCCTGGACGACAGGGGATGGATCATGTGAGGATTGCCTGTTCTGTTCATTCCCCCGGGGCACTGGCCAAAGACTGGATACTGGGCTAGATGGACCTTTGCTCGGACCCAGTATGGCCGTTCTTCCTTCCCTGCTGGGCTTACAACCCAAGGAACCAACGTATTGCGCTCACTCTTCCCCTCTCCCGCTGCTGGCACAGTGTGGGCTCTCCAGGGGCCTGGAAGAGGGAGAAGGGATATTGGCTGGGCTGGGCCCCAGGGTTGGTTTGCTGTGTAATTACTGCCCCCGTGCCTCCCTGACCCGCGGGCGGCGGGGAAGGGGGAAGGGGGAAGGCGGAGACCCCCCCCCCCGCCTCCCCGGTTCGGCCTCTGCCGCACAGCCTCGCCTCCGGAGGCCGCCGCGGTTGCGCTCCCCGCAGCCTGGGCTGGGCGGCGCTGGCGGTCCCGCCCCCTGCGCTCCCACAGCCCGGCGCACAGGCGGCAGCGCCGCAGCCCCGCGCAGACAGACAGACACACACACACACACACCCACCCAGAGGCAGGCTCTGGCAGTGGCACTCGCAGCGCAGCAGCGGCCGCCGCCACCAGGCATGGCACAGGGCTCTGCCTCGCCATGGCAGCAGCAGCAGCGCGACACAGCACCCTGGACTTCCTGCTCAGCGCCCCAGGTCAGCGCCCCCCGTCCCCACTTGCTAGCGCGCCCCCCCCCCCCCCGCGTCCCCCTTGCACCGCCCCGCCTCTGCCCGGTCAGACAGCGGGCGAGGGGGAGCCGGCCCCGGCCCGCTCCTTGCCGCAGGCCCTCCTGCGGCTCCAGCCGCCGCCACGCTCTGCCCATCCGCCAGCGGCCGCATGCGAGCGCTTCCCTCCCCAAATCCTCGCGCTCCTTCCTCCCAGAGCTCCCCCACCCTGCACCCCCTTCTCCTTCCAGGCACGCAGCTGATTTCCCCCTCCCGCTCCCCGCAGGCATCCGGCTGCTCTCCCGGCGTGTAGGTTGCTCCCTGACCCCCCCCCCCGCCTGCAAGTCTCCTGTGGGCCCCCTCCCCCATGTTTTAGGGCCCCTTGTGGTAACCCCCCCTCAGGCATGCAGCTCTCCTCGTCCTTTATGTGTGCAACTGCCCTCTCCCTTCAGGCACGCAGGTTCCCCCTGCCTCCCCGTACGTGCGGAGCTTCCCCGCCTCTCCCCGGGCATGCAGAGGCGTCCGCCACTCCGGGCGCGCAGTCCCCTCGTGACGCGCCATGCAACCCCTTTCCTGTCGCTCTCTGCACAATTCATCTCCGCGATCCCGAGGAAAAAAAATACAAAGTCCGCTCGGCATCGGCGGCCAGCCTAGCAACGCACCTAGTGCAGCTCTTCTTCGGCAGCCTAGAGTGTTAATGCAAATTAGTGGATTGTCACTGGAAAGTGTGTGTGTCTGGGGGAAGGATGTCGCTGCTATTAAGCATTTCTTTGCCGCGTGCGTGACCTTTTTCTGTCCCTTGGTTGGGTGACTTTCTCTTGGCGAGGTTATTTTTATTTTTCTGCCATTATCCTGGTGGGAAATGGGATCCGGCCAAGGTAATGCTTGGCCTAGTGTGGAAATAAAGCGAGGCAAAATGAGGTATTTTTGTTTGGGAGGGTTGGAGGGAAGTACAACAATATGATATGGAGAAACGAAACAAGGAAGTGCCCGGATTCGGAGGCCTGGTTTGGAAATGTGCATTGTCGGCCTCTTGCAAATGACAGGGGTAGCAAAGCTAGAAAAGACTCAGGTTTTGTTTTTAGTTGTTTATCCCTTTGTTATGGTGCTATGGGAAGGGAGTTGGTGGGGGTGTGCATTCGTGGCTTACATGCTGTGCTTTAGCATGATGACTTCAGTCTTTGGGGTTGATTTATGCATGTACTTGTCCGTTGAACCATATGAACTAGAACCATAAACTCACTGAACATTAAATCTCACCAAATGAGGGTCAATCCATTCTCATCGTCGTATCGACTCATTATACTCCACACCTGAACATAGCCATTATGTGAACAACATACTCTCATAGCGCAGTGCCTGTACTTTGACCCGTTAATCTTTTACCCCTAATTGGGATATTGCAGATTATGTATTCCTTACGCCATCCGATCTTAAACCGAATTTTGCACCCCTTGATAATCTGTACTTTATTCCCTGATAACCAGAAACTTCTACACTTAAACTCTGTACCGTTCACTTTTTTAAAACATCATCTTAATTTTTTAAATCTGTTCTTACTAAAAACTAGATTTTTTGTTAAAAAACTTCCTATCCATATTAGGCATTCTGAGGTTGCTTTGGGGAGGAGACATTACTGTAAAATGGGAGGTCCTGAAAATCTGACCTGTGGCATTTCATTATGTAGTCTATTATGACTTGTCAGTGAAATGCTAAAAGTAGCATTTTTCTCTTATTTAAAATGGGGTAACAGGCAATAACCTGCTGATTTTTTTCTGGGTCAACACAAAGTAGAGGGACACATATCCAACATGATTATTATGATTTTATAAGCTATTCCTGAATTTCTTGTCAGATGGTGGTGTGCAGAATTCCTTGCAGTAATTAGTGATAAAAGTGGGCTGGGGATCAGATTTTAACTACTGACTTCAGTCATGGACTGGTCAGTTGAGGGATGGGGAGGCGGGTTTGAGCCAAAATTCAATAAAAGTATTCACTTTATTTGGTAAGTTAGGTGGGTGATACGTTTCGCTTTTGGAGAGTGCTGTAGTGAACTTTGAGTGCCAGTCTAAGTCTGTAGATAGCTTTGTAAAGAGGCAAGTAAACACTGGATTATCTTGCTATTTATTAATTACTCTGACAATATTTATTTAAAATAAATTTTTTTTTAGTTGTTTTTGAATGCGTCCTTTTTTACTCCTGGGGGAATTCTGCGCCACTGTGCAGGCGCATAATTTATATCCCCTGCAGTTTTCTTTGCTTCCGTGCAGAAAAATGACTTTCTGACAGGGAAGCAAAGGGAAGCCACAAGAGCGGTCATGCGACCCTCCCCAGAAGTATGTTTTGGGCAGCTGTCAGAGAAGTAGGGGTGGGGTGGGGGACTGGGGAATACCTGGCTGGTTGCTCCTATGTTGCGCTGGGTTCAGTTGATAATCCCGGCTGGGCTGGGGAGGACTGGACTTTGTCTTCCCCTGCACGGCATCCAGGGCTGGGTAAGACCCACCCCCAGATTTCTCCCCCAGCTGCAGGAAGCTCTGCACACTTAGCCCTGCTCCCCGCTTTCTGCATCCATCGCACCTCCTGGCTCAGGGATTTGTGTACAGGGAGCTGCTCCCTCATCCACCCAACCCCCGTGCATCCAGATCCCCTCATACCCAGATCCTCCTGCTGAGCCTCACCCGTGACTTGGAAGCCACCCACACCCAGATTCCCACTTCACCAAGCCCCAGCCAGTTGCACCTGGATCCCCACTGCAATGAGCCCCACTCCCCCCACATCCAGATCCCCCTGCTGAGCTCTATACCCCCCCCCCACACAGACCCCCAACAACATTCAGCTGGACCCCCCTGCAGAGTCCCCTTACGGTTGCCCCCAGAACCCTCCCCACCCCCCCCAACAAGCCCCTGTGCATTCAGGTCCCCCCCACACCCGGATCCCTGAGCCATCAGCACCCAGATTGCCCTCAACGCACACCTGGATCCCCCCACACTTAGCCTCTCCACGCTTAGATCCTGCCTTCCCACACCTGGAGCACCTGGCATGGAGGGGCAGGGCCCTGGGGTGTTTCTGGGGCAGGCCTGGTCCTTGAGCTGTGTGTGGATTGGGTGCAAGCCTCACTGCAGAGTCTGTGTCCTATGGGGGGGAAAGAAGCTGCACAGTGATCTCCCACCTCTGTGCAGCCAGTGTCCTGTGCTCCCCAATGCCATGCTGGAGCCTCTACATTTATATGACAAATACGATTTGCAGAATTTTAAAATATTGTGCATGGAGTTCTTATTTTTTTGGCTGCAGAATGTCCCCAGCAGTACTTTTTCCAGGCTGTTTTGGTTGGGGACAGGCATTCCCCTCCCCTGTTAAACAAATCCTTTTTGGGAATTCTGTTTCAGTGAAGATACCATAGATTCTAGAAGCTTTATTGCAATCCATAGCATTTTTGACAGTGCAGAATGATACATTTTTTGTAGTGAACCAGCAAAAACCAAAAAGATATCACAGAAGGGAAAATAATTGTAAAAGTTTTTGTACTTTCCTATTTCTCCCTCCCTCCTTTAGTTAATGGAGGCAGTGTTTTCAGGTGTTACATCTGCTTTACTGTGTCTTTAAAATCATACTTTCCTATTGTTTTTACAACACTGTCCTCTTTCCAGTTAGTGTGTGTGAAGTACTCACATTAACAACAAAAGGGGAAGTTGGCTAAACAGGGAAGTGTTGTCCAATACATAAGTGAATGATGAAATCTACTTTTACTTTTGTGTGTTCCTATAACAACAGTAGGTGAACAGTCTTTGGAGAGGAGTGAGTCTCTTTTCTGCAGATGACAGTATCCTCAACTCAAGTTGGGGGTTTTTTATATTGAATTTCACCTCTTATATAGTTGTGGCTCAAAACAAAATATTGGTATGATTTCTGTAGTGAAATGAGTACATATCATCCATAGAAATAAGTTTTGGATATAAAGGCTGAATCAGAGGTTATTAACTAGCTTGGTTTTGTATTTCCTATATGGGCAATACAATTTTTGAACAGAAAAATAACAGCTGCACCTAGCAGTGTTACAGTGTGATGGTAAAGTGCTCTGGGATGTCCTGAAACTACTAACAAACTGTTGATGTATCTTTGAACTGTTTTTGTTTTAGAGTAATGTACGTTATCTTTATGCCTTAGATTTCTCTGCCATCGGACAGCAACTAGAGAGTCTTGTTTTTAGTATATAACTTTTCAAGTGTCTCCTACTCCCAAATATATAATTTTAGGCTATTGAATGACGTGGTTTAGGAAATGTTAATGTGTGGTAATATAGTCAGTCTTTAAAATCATGTCTCTCTGTGAATGGACAGTTTATATAAAAGTAAGAAGACTTCAGTAACCCTGTGATACCTAATTATATCTAGTACTTGCAATAGCTGAAATCTACTAGACAATATAAAGCAGATGATTAAAAAGTATACTTAGGCTCCTTTCCTCTAGATAAAGCTAGACTGGGCTTTTTTTATAGCAGCCTAAGGGGGATTTAGGCATTGCAGCACCTACTGGAATTCTTAATCCTGAGTTAGGCACCCGGGCTCACTATGCAATGTATGGGGAGAGAGGATCTAAGAAAGGGATTAACAAAAGCCAACATGCTCAGTGGGGAGCACCTAAACTCAACATTTCCTATTGGCTGGGAGACGGGTATTATTGTGTAAGCTCCTCCCCTCAAAGTGAGTTAGGCAATTAACTCCAGGCCAGAGGGAGATATCTCCCTGCCTTCAGGGTTCACAGTTGTGAATCCTCTCGTAGAGTTAGGTGCTTGAACAGGGTCAGCCCTCTCTGCTTGGTGATCTCAGGACTTGGGCGGCTGTGCATGTGCCTAGCTGCTGAAACGCAAGTGCTTCTGGGACTCTTAACTGGAAATTTGGTGCCTAAAGTGCCTGGGTGCCTACAGAATTAAGCAATAGCTAAAAGGATTTTTATGAATGCCAATGGTATCTAAATGTTGGTATGTAAAAGGT